TTGTCAATTCCATCAGACTCCAGAATTGAATCTTCTTCAGCCCAACAAGCAGCAATATTAACTCTCGACAAAACGCTGTATGGTAGGCTGTATTTTCCCTACCTAGAGTGCCTACCTAAGTGTATGTTGAGGCTAGCATGCTCTCCGGGCTCAGAATCATATACAGGAGTGACAGAAATGTTGACGGTTGAGCCTGGCTCAAGATCATGACACATGACTCTTCCTTGAAAGTTATTCTTTTCTAGTACAGTCCATGATCTGTCTCTTATACACATCTAGATGTGTATAAGAGACAGCCGTTACTTCTACCTGTACCCCTGGTGTTAAACCAGAGCAGTCCATGCTACCAGAGCCATCGGCTGCGTCTACGACAGATGAAACTGGAACTCCACTTGAACAATTAACGACGAATTCTGAAGCAAACCCAGATCTAATTTCCCATTCGACAGATATCGAAACCAATGAAGATGTCTGACTTGTGAACTCGACAACGTCAGGCTCTAGTAATGATACAAAATAACATCGTAATCAGGCCCGTAGCCAGGTTCTTCCGAGTGGGTGGGGGGAGGGGTTTCTGGGCGTGAGGTCCACAGTCGAAGCCCCGGTGGGGTCTGCGAAACCCCAAAGCAAGAGGATTTTTGTGATTTATGGGTCTAAACAATGCTATAAAAGCAGATATGTTTGATGCCTGTGTCTGGGTGGGTCTGTAGTGCATTAGTTGGGTTGGAGGACTTATTTGGGAAATTTAAAGAGGGGTTTTGCCAAAAAAGAAGGGGGTTTGCTAGTAAAAGGGGGGGGGGGAGGTTCTCCAGAACCATAATCACCCCCACCCACAAGATACGGGCCTGCACACTAAAAAGGGGTTAACACGTGAATATGCAATTGGAAGAAGTAAAAAATAAATAAAAAAATGAAAATTTAGTTAAAAAAATCATGTTTATATTAACAGAACCTTTATTTTTTTTAATGAATTTAAAAAAATGTGGATTGGCGAATATGAAAAAAGGTAAAAAAAGTTAATAACAAAAGGTGAACTAATATAAATTCAGAGGATGGACAATTTGAATAATTTGAAAGGAAAATAAACCAAAAGAATACGATGGGTACGGTAATAGCGGTGTCGACACACGAAACGAAAACATCCAGCCAACCAAAAATATACTCAATAAACTCTAAAAATAGGCCTTAATGTGGATGGGCGATTTGAAAATTGATTAAAAAAAATAAATAAAAAGAATAAACAGAATTAAAATCGATAAACTTGGGTGGATGGCTGACATGATGAATTGTTAAAATAAAAAGAAAAGAAAAAAAAAATTCCCACCTTTGGAAGTAACGAGGAGGAAATGATAGAAATTATTAATTAAAACACCAAAAAAAAAAAAAAAAAAAAAAAAAAAAAAATTCAAAAAAAAAAAAAAACGAATCAAAATATAAAAAATAAAACATTTATAAAATAAAAATTAAAAAAAAAAAAAAAAATGGAAAAAGGGAAAGGTCTCACTATATCGTCCGGGCTGTCAATGGCTACCTATTCACGAGCGCTATCCCGCTACTGCTCCACGCGGGGACTTTTGCCTGCTGCGTTTCCGCCCTGGGCCGGTACGTTCCTCCTTAGACAACCTGGTTATCCAAGCCTCCGCCTAGCTAACCATATCGACGCCGAGCTAAGCGTGGACGCTCGATCGCCATAGAGCAACCACCAACAGGACTCCCGAACTCAAGCAATCCTCTAACCCCGACTTCCAAAGCAGCTGGATTACAGGCGCACGCCACAACGCCCAGTCGACAGCACAACGGAAATAAGCATTCAGATTTCATTGGGTAGTGCGCCCTCTCTAATAGACTTCATGGTCCAGAACTTTGGGCTGTATTTTATTGTAGTGATAATAAAATGGATAAAATTTAATACTGTAGAAAGAAGGCCTACTTGTGTATTAATATTATCATAATCAGTGGTATTTAAAGTAATCAGTCTATCCACTTGATACATTAACAACCAGTATTTTAGTATAACATTGAGAGTTTTAGAGACACTACAGGCCGCTACCAACACTAATTATCTTATAAAATGAAGAAAGTTAACAGTGGCGGTAGCAGGTCGATTTCCGTCCGAAGCAACAATGAATATTATCACACAATGTATTATTACTTAGACTTATTTTCATGAGGATGATTATTATGACGATGCTCATTTGTGATTATTATTTCATTATTACTTTTTATATCAGATTTTTATATCAGATTTATATCTATTTTTATTATTTCCATTATACACCAATTTTATATAGACCCTTTGTCTCATTTTAATTACTGTTCTCTCAGATTCTCAGTATTACAGTTGACTTCCTTATTATTGTTTA